TGAGCAGGAGAGAAACGCAGAGGCCACTCTGCCAGTGCTTTTTTGGGGGGGGGGGGGGGGTTTTCCCAAGCAGTACAGCTGAACATATAGATTGTTTCACATTTTTCATTTTTCCTTCCCCCGCCACCCCCCCAAGTTTACTCCGATGTCATATCGCCGCGAGGAAGTCGGCCTTCTCTGAATCTGATTTGTGGGCTCTTTGATTTACTGACGAACCGCAGGTGGCCACAGACTTCGGAAAGAGTAAAGGAGAGAACTCAGCTTGAACATATTCAGTGGAAAGGAAAATCCTCCTGCACAAAAAAAGGGGAGGAGCTGAGTCCGTCTCGATCAAAGGAAGAGCGGCGCGGGGAAAGTAATAGCGGTGAATGCTAATAATCGCACCCTAAATATGGAAATACGGCGAGGATGCAGGAGCCCGCTGCAGGTGGATGACAAGCAGGTGCTCCGCTGGGAGTCTCCGCTAATCAGATTTTACAGCGTAATGAGGGAAATATGTTACCTATTAGCATCACGGAGAGACAAGGGCACTGTTAGCTTTGCCGCTATTGTAGAAGTGAAGCCCAAACACCGGGGGCTTCGACCTTGGATGCCAGACTGCGAATGTGTGATTTTGCTGCAGCCTGGAAAAGACCATGTGAAACAACCCAGTGAGTATTATAGCGTAATAGAGAGTAATGTGGACTGCTTTGTAGTCCATGATAGTGAGGTCTCTGCTAACGACATCATTTCCTATTAATGGGAGCGTATAGAAGGAAACGGTGACGACCTCATTAAGGGACTTTGGACGGAACCGCCGGCGGGGATCCCCTCATAACAGGCTGGGCCGGGCCAAACTCTGGACCAGAGCCAGGGACAGCGCTCTGAGATGTACCTGCCCGGGATCGCCTTTGCCGTCTCGCAGGCTGGGGCACGCAGAAGGGGCTTTCTGGGGAACTCCAACACAGCCATCCGAATTCCCTGGCAAACTCCATCACAGGTTGTGGATCTTAAGGGGGACACACCCAAAATTCCAGGAATGGCACAGATTTCCCATTCCTGGTGCAGCCTGCGACTTACTAGACCGGGACCACGGGTCCACGCTCGATTTCTCCCCTCAGGGGGCTGGTGGTGGCGGCGGTGGGGGCTGTTCATTATTGATGAAGCTGAGCATTGCGGGTCCCTTAGCCATCTGTTGTGCCCCCCCCCCCCCCATCACCTGTGCTGTCCAGCGAATGGGTGTTTCAGGCGCTTAGCAGCAGCCTGTTTCCGCAGTGTGAGATGTCAGGGTCCACTGGGTACGTGGGGCAGTCATGTGTGACAGCTCATTAAAAATGAGGGGAAAAGAAACCTCCTGAATCACCACCATTTACATCTTCTGTCCATGACCTGTGGGACTGTGGTGGCTCTGAAGCTCTATGCCTCCATTTTTTTTGTCTCCGATCTCACTGCTGGTGCCTTAAATTGAACAGGACAAAGGTACCGCTGGTGATCAGCTCCTGACAAAAACCGTTTTATAGGAACCCACACATGCTAAGCTGCAGGGGGCGCTGTGTGGCTCACTGGGTTAGGACACTGTACCTGTGATCGGAAGGTCGCTGGTTCTAACACTGTTGATGGTAGAGTGATTTCACCATTGACCTCTAGAGCAAGGCCCATAACCCCCATTTGCTCCAGGTACTGGCTGGCCCTGATTCTCAAAAAATAAAAATGTGCTTTTATATAAAAACATCTGATAGATAAATAGATGAAAATGTATAAATGTCAGGGTCGCCCCGAAGCTTTATATTTATTACTTTATTTACCATTATTAA